AAAATAACTAATTAAGTAAGTAAGTAAATATTGTTTTTTCTGACTATGTTGTTGAACGGAAACAGAACCAAAATGTACCGAGAATCATATGTGTGTGTGTGGGTGGGTGAGTGGTGGTGGATGTAGGCTTTCCTATTGACTATATGTAATCTCATTAGCTTATATCAATCATTAATTGCTTTATAAATCAACATAAGTTACACACAGTTTATTGAAAATTACGAAACTGTTTGGAAAACAAATGAGATGATAGATCAGCAGTGGTAACTTTTTGATAAATTCAATGAGAGATATATTCTACAAACTATATATTATTATCTGTACTCAGTTACTAAGGAAAGGACGAAAGCTAAGCGCGGCCAAACTAAAATATGGCAGTAATCCATGAAATCATTGACAAGTGGACTGAGTCATGTTGGTAGGTGTCGACTACCTGGTTGGGGTCTACGAGATGATAGTCACCGATGGTTAGAGACCTTGAACGACATGGCTCAAAACCGTTTGCAATGACACAACAGGTGCATCCACTCTTTGTGTTCTCTCAAATCCTAATCTTCTGGATTCTTCAACCCCTCTAAGTTTTGTCTTTCTAAACTTATCTCACTGAATTACATACTTCTTGAATAATATCTTCTAATCCTAACCTCTCCGACTACTACTAATACCTTTACTTTCTCTACTACTACTATGGGATTTGAATTGACAATTATATCTCTATGTTGATGTGGTGGTATGGCAACATGAACCGATGTACTTACATACGAAGTTCTACGTTGCAACTGACTGACTGACTGACTCAAGCCAATTTAATGCAATGTTGTGGTCCTTGCAAATAGTTGAAATAAAATCCGATGAGTGGGTTACTACTTGGTGAAAAGACGCACCAATTTAAATTATATACTTCACATCTAGTCAATTTTTTGCAAGGGATGGGATACTTACTGTCCAAGTGCTAAAAAAACCGAAGCAGGTGCAATTTTCTTAGAATCGGGGTTACTTCCCGAGGCTTTGTTTGACAAAAAGGTCTAAAATTGAGAAGGCAGTGAGGGCAACGTCAGCAGACGCAGTCCCATGATAGCCAGTCGCCAACAATAGGTTCATGGTAACACTAGTTTCCTAAGGATCCTCCTCTACAGCTTATATGCACTATTGGTTTGGAATCAGAGTTTATCAACCTTTTTCATACCCATCAACCCGGTTTAAATTCTGTCCAGACAGATGCAACACAGAACTTCGTACGTAGGTACATCAATTCAGGTTGCCATGCCCCATCAGCACAGAGACGCAACTGTCAATTCAACTTGAAGCGTGATAGCGATAGTAGAAGTATTAATAGTAATGGAGAAGATTAGGGAGCAAAGATATAATTTGAGAAGTATAATTCAGTGAGATAAATTTAGAAGGAGAAAGATAGAGATTATGAGGAATGCAGAAGCTTAGAATTTCATTGAACACAAAGAGTGGATGCACCTGTGTCATTGCAAACGATTCTGAGGCATTTCGTTCAAGGTCTCTAACTATTGGTGACTTTCGTCTCGTGGACCCCAACCAGATAGCCTACATGTACCAACATGACTCAATCCACGTGTCAATGACTTCATAGATTTCTGCCATATTTTGGACTGGCCACCCCTAACTTTCTCCCACCTCCCAATTAATACCATGAGTTGAAACCAATTGGAAACAATGAGAAAGAACAATTGCTTAACGAAACCCCAATAAATATCCGTTATAAAAAAAATAATGATATAACCATATCATTAAATTCAATGTGTACAAAACTAAATGAATGAATATACTGAATATTGATTTGAAAGCGATCACTCACTCATCAATCAGTAATAGTAATAATAGTAATAATAATAAACATTAAAACAAAATTTTTGGAAACCATGAATCGACGATCAGTCAGTGTTAGACTATCATCATTAGACAAACCTGGAAGCATTGAGAGACGGTCGTTTCGTCCCACAATGGGACTACTACTCATCAGTGGCAGTACGCATCCACGACTCCTGTATCTGGTACGGGACTCGGACTCGGAACCTCTGATCTTGCGTGCGAACAATACCTAACCTCTAGACCACCGAGTCGGCATTCATTGTCTAACTCTGATTAATCAAGGGATTTTGTGCAACCTCACCCATTTGGATTCGGTAGTTGTTACTGCCTACACCCAAAACAGGATTGAACTTCACTGATTACACATTTTCTGACTATAGAACTCCAAGAAAATTTTTTACAAAGCTAGTAGTCACCACTAGTAAGCACATTTTACGAAATTTTTTTTAAATTAGAGTTTATGGAGATGAATGTTTTTACACATTTGAAATCATAAATCTACCAAGCATTGTTAGACTGCCACCACATTAGAAACCTGAAAGCACTGAAAGATTACCGTTTCGTCCTGGTTTATGAGACCACTATCTGTGGCAGTGCGCATTCACGACTCTTGCACCTCTCACAGGATTTGAACCCAGGACCTTCGGTATTGTAGGGCGAACGCCTAACCTCTGGACCACTGAACCGGAGGTGTTAATTTGTCTAACTTTCGATCAATTCACAGAGTTGTGCCACCTCATACACTGTTTTCTCTAGGTAACTCTGTCTACGTCCGAAAACAGCGTTGAACTACTTCACTAGTCACACAACTTCCCACCACTACTGGAACGCCAGAGAAGATTCCTTACAATCTTCTTGATAATTACACTTCAACTATATTAAATTATATCAAAACTATCATGAATAAAAACTGATTTATAAATGATTTTTATAAATATTCATTTAAACAATCAAACTGTTCATTAAAACAACAACTCGTTCAATATTCAATATTTCAAGCGCTCAAATCAATTTACACAAATTTGTTTTTATTATTCATAATTTCGATCATATAAAATTAATTTGTTTAGTGAAAATAAATCAGACCGCATTAGTGACAGTGCGTATCCACGACTCCTGTACCTCGCACAGGATTTGAACATAGTACTTTCGGTGTTATGCACGAACGCCTAACCCCTCTAGACCACTGAGCCGACATCTAACAGTGTTAATGTGTCTAACTCTGATTGATCTACAAATTTTGCGCAACCTCACCTATTTGTCTTTGGTAGTTATACTTCCTACATCCGAACAGGTTTGAGCTTCACCGGTCACACATCTTGTGACTATAGACCTCCGAGAAAATTCCTTACGAATCTAGTAATCACCAGTAGTAAGCACATTTTACGAAATATTTTTTTAAATTACGGTTTATGGAGATTAATGTTTTTACACATTTGAAATCATCAATCAATCATTGAGTTAGACTGCCACCACATTATAAACCTGGAAGATGGCTGTTTCGTACCGGGACTATTACTCATCAGTGACAGTGCGCATCCACGACTCCTGCTGCACCTCGTACAGGATTCGAACCCAGGACCTTCGATATTGTAGGGTGAACGCCTAACCTCTGGACCACTGAACCGGAGGTGTTAATTTGTCTAACTTCAATCAATTCACAGAGTTGTGCAACCTCATTCATACACAGACAGTCTTCGGTAGTAGTTACTGTCTACACCCGAAAATAGCGTTGAACTTCACTGGTCACACAACTTCTCACCACTACTAGAACTCCAGAGAAGATTCCTTACATTCTTCTTGATAACGACACTTTAATTATATTAAATTATATCAAAACTATCATGACATGATATATGATTTTTATAAACATTCATTTAAACAATTAACTGTTCATTAAAACAACAACTCATTCAATATTCAATATTTCAAGCGCTCAAATAAATTTAAACAAATTTCATTTTTATTATTCATAATTGTGATCATATAAAATTAATCAAAATTAATTTGTTTAGTTAAAATAAATCAGACCGCGTTAGTGACAGTGCGCATCTACGACTCTTTCACTTCGCACAGAATTCGAACCTGAGATCTCTGGTTATTTTTTGATGAGATTTTCAAAAAATAGACTTCAACCATTGAACAATTGAATGAGATTTCAATGTACCCTCGATTCTATCAATGACATGTATATATATGAGCATGAATACTCTTTTTTAGACTAGTTGCCTATGGTAATTACTAATTTCCGCGGGATTTTCAAATGTTCAAAATATTCATGAGTTTTATAGACAAAATAATAGACTGCCATCACATTAGACAAACATGGAAGCACTGAAAGATTGCCTTTTCCTCCTGGTGTATGGGACTACTACTCATCAGTTGCAGTACACATCCATGACTCTTGCACCTCACACAGGACTCGGACTCAGAACCTGTGGTCTTGTGTGCGAACAACACCTAACCTCTGGACCACTGACTCGGCATTCAATGTCTAACTCTGATTAATAAAGGGATTTTGTGCAACCTCACCCATTCGGCTTCGGTAGTTCTACTGCCCTACTCTGAGAAAATTCCTTACGAAGCTAGTAGTCACCACTAATAAGCAGATTTTACAATATTTTTTTTAAATTAGAGTTTATGAAGATGGATGTTTTTACACATTTGAAATCATCAATCAATCATTGTTAGACCATCACTATTAGGGACACTTGGAAGCAGTGGAGTGACGGTTGATCCTGATATGGGACTCATCAGTGGCAGTACGCATCTATGACTCCTGCACCTCTCACAGGATTCGAACCTAGGAATTTCAGGCTTGTGTACGAAAACTTAAACTCTTGACCACTAGGCCGAAATCCAGCGGTGTTAATGTCTAACTCTGATTGACCTCACCTATTTGTCTTTGGTAGTTCAACTGCCTACACCCTAAACAGGGTTGAACTTAACTGATCACACATTTTCTGACTATAGAACTTCGAGAAAATTCCTTACGAAGTTAGTAATCACCACTAATGAGCACATTTTACGATTTTCCTTTTCTTAAATACTAGAGTTTATGGAGATGGATGTTTTTACACATTTTACACATGAAAATCTTTCAAAAAATGGGTTATTTTTCTCAAGATGAAATAAAAATTTCACTCAATCTAAATATATTACTTACTAGAAGTAGGATAAGTTGTTGTAATACGTTTCATATCTTGATGAAATGAATATGGATGACTGGTTGCTATGGTTGTTGGGGTTGCAGTTGTAGAAGTTGTAGTTGTTGCTATGGTCGGTTTATTATTAGTGAAATGTGAAATATTCTTTCGATTAGCCGTTTGATACATTTCTGCAATGAATTTATTCGGATTTATTGATTGATCTATGCTGTGATCATTAAAATGTTTATTGAACTGTTGTTCCTCATTCATTTCTGTGTCAACATCCTCCCCCTCCTGCTCCGCCTCCATCTCACCATCATCATCAGCATCAGCATTTACGCCGCCGCAGCCGACGCCGCCGCCCCCGTGCTCGTAGTCGTCAACATCATCTTCATCCATTTTATTGCTGTTCATTTCAACATGTTCATCGTCCATACTACTACTATGACTATTAGTAGTATTACTAATCATCGAGTTAGCAACAGTCATGATATTATCGTCAACAGACGTACCATTTCGTTTATTCTCGTTTATTCGATGTAACTCCGGCTTCTGTTGTGGTTGCTGTTGATGAGGTCTCATTGGATGTAGATTACTTCTTCGATTCCATTCCGGGAACATAGGGAAATGATTCAGTGTTGTGCTTGTCATTGTTGGCAAATTCGGCAGTAGTGTTGAAGTGACAACAGGAGCAGAAGTATTTGAACAGTCAATCATATTACTATTATTATTGTTACTATGTATAGTAGTATTAGTAGTATTAGTAGTATGATAATTATGCTTTTCATTTAATCTTATCAAATCAGATAAATTAGAAAATCCACCAATTTGCATAATAGTATCCATATTTCTATTTTGGTTTTTCAATTTTGAGATGAAATAAGTAAGTAAATAAGTAAATATTTATTTATCAATTTGTAAAAGTTGATTGCATCAGTAGTGATTTGTTTGTTTGTGTTTTATGCAAAAAATCACCCCTGGAAATAGTTGAAGAAGAAAATAAACACCCCAGTTTTAATCTCTTCTACTCTCCCTCTCTCCCCCTCCCTCTCCCTCTCCCTCTCCAATTTGATCTGATAAATTAGAAATCAGTAGCTTTTTGATTGGTCAAAAACGAAAGTCAGCTATGAATATGTTCGCTGATTGGATTGGTTGATTTTTATTTACAAGAAAAATTAAATTCTTATTCGCATTCGTCCATTATAAATTAACCAATCAAAATTTAGTGAATTATCTTTCTTTCTTTCTTAAGAGAAAAAAATAAGTCAATTTCTGTGTGTCTCTGTGTGGTGTGTATGCATATATAGAGATAGCCATTTAAAACAAAGCGATTTTTTTTATGTTTGTTTGTGTTGCGTGTGTGTGTGTGTTTATGTCGTTATTGTTACTGTGAGTTTGGAAAAAAAATATGGGAATGTATTTAAAGTGTCATTGTAAAGTCAGCGGTTGCCCCCTTTCATAAATTGCTATTGTCCGAAAAATTATTATTGGGTTTAATATGAAATTGATCATTGAATCCAGCGAAATCTCACGGTTCTACATTCCATCGTCGGAAAGAGCTATTGATTGGTTGTCTATTTAGACATAATGGGAATGATGAGTTGATTAATTTTGGATGGACTGTCAATAGAGCCTTAGAAGAACTGGACGGCTGTTAGTTTGGAACTCATCAACAGTGTGCGTATACACAACTCCTGCTACTCACAGGAGTCAAGCCGTATAGAACTTCAGTCTAGTGCGCGAATGCTTAACCTCTCGACCACTGAGCCGGTCATCGTTCAACGATGTTATTGTCTAAATTCATCCAGTCCATCATATTGCGCAACCTCTTTTTTCTATTATCATTCGTGAGTACTGCTTCACACCTGACCAGAGTTGAACTCGACTTGCCACAACTTTAAAACTTATAAATAATATTAATTTATAAACTGAATGAAATAACACTCGTCCTTATTTCTTTGCATGCTACAAAATTGATATGCTCGTCACCAGTTGTTATGCTAGGTCAGCTTACTCGTTAAACGGAACAACGATCAGCGATACAGGGACACGATAGGCTATTCTAATCCGAGCGTCTCAAGGACCAGCTAATTATATCAATAAGTCTTGATAAGGCGTAGAGAGAATGTATTCTACGAGCACCCAAAAAATATGAGGTTCCACAAGCATACACAAATCGAATTTATTTATACAACATGATAGAAACGCCCTTGGTGAGAGTCACAAAAATAGCGTACTTAAATAATGCATCAACCAGTGATGACAGTCAAGGATTTTCCGAGTGGGAAATGTAATCTCAAGGTCAACTAAGCAACTTCTGCGCGAAAACACGAAAAATCCAAAATTAGGACTTTTTACAAGTGAGTACTGGGTCATTTAACATCCCCAACAGAACTGTTTTAAATTGTTTCCCTGTCATAGTAACGCTAGATTGTTTTAGTTTCGACTTGATTAGTAGTCGATCAATGTTTATTTTCTGGAATTTGTTGCTAGGGATTGAAAACTGTCAATATGGGATTACGGTGTTGTGAGGATTATTAAGTTCTACATTTCTGTAACCATTAATCGACCAATGTTATACTGCCAACATCATTAGAAACCTGGAAGCACTGTTTAGACGGACGTTTCATCCTGATGTATAGGATTAATCATCAGTGGCAGTGCGTATTCACGAGTCCTGGATCTCGCACAGGATTCGAACCTAAGACCTTCGGTATTGTTCACGAACGCCTAACCATCGGACCACTGAGCCGGTATCTAACGGTGTTAATGTCTAACTTCAATCAATTCACGGGATGCAGGAGTCGTGGATGCACACTGCCACTGATGATTAATCCTATACATCAGGATGAAACGGCCGTCTTTCAGTGCTTAGTACTAGTTTAAGTGATTGGACAGCATAATGGATGTGCAAGGTAGATTTGATGCAGATGTAAAACGCGCGGATTGACAAAGCAAGGGTTGCATTTCTTACAATTCAGCAACATCTGGAACACAAAACAACTATCATGTGATATGAAAGTCACAATTTTCAATACAAAACATCAAAACAGTTCTATTGTATGAGGCGGAAACTTGGAGAACCACGAAGGCCATCATCCCGAAGACAAAAATATTTATTAACAGTTGTCTAGACAAGATGCTGTTTGACGGTTGGCTAGACATTATCAGAAACAATCTGCTGAGGGAGACAACCAATCAGGATCCAACAGAGAAACAAGTGAATAGGACATATATTGAGGAAATGATCGATCTATGTCACAAGGCATGTCCTTACTTAGAATCCTCAAGGCCAGACGAAAAGAGGGAGACCAAAGAACACATTTCACCAAGAATTGGAGACAGACATGAAAAAAATAATCAGCCATTGGATAGAACTGGAAAAGAAGGTCAAAGACAAAGAAGTATTTCGAAAGTGATGGTCTTCGGACTGTGCTCTATTAGGGAGTAACAGGCGTAAGTAAGTAAGTAAGTAAGTAAGTAAGTAAGTAAGTAAGTAAGTAAGTAAGTAAGTAAGTAAGTAAGTAAGTAAGTAAGTAAGTAAGTAAGTAAGTAAGTAAGTAAGTAAGTAAGTAAGTAAGTAAGTAAGTAAGTAAGTAAGTAAGTAAGTAAGTAAGTAAGTAAGTAAGTAAGTAAGTAAGTAAGTAAGTAAGTAAGTAAGTAAGTAAGTAAGTAAGTAAGTAAGTAAGTAAGTAAGTAAGTAAGTAAGTAAGTAAGTAAGTAAGTAAGTAAGTAAGTAAGTAAGTAAGTAAGTAAGTAAGTAAGTAAGTAAGGTAAGTAAGTAAGTAAGTAAGTAAGTAAGTAAGTAAGTAAGTAAGTAAGTAAGTAAGTAAGTAAGTAAGTAAGTAAGTAAGTAAGTAAGTAAGTAAGTAAGTAAGTAAGTAAGTAAGTAAGTAAGTAAGTAAGTAAGTAAGTAAGTAAGTAAGTAAGTAAGTAAGTAAGTAAGTAAGTAAGTAAGTAAGTAAGTAAGTAAGTAAGTAAGTAAGTAAGTAAGTCCTGTACCCTTTGTACTGAGTGGTCGTAGGTGGTCATTGGGGCAACCCTCGGATTTTATTCCATGACTTGTTCGCTATGTGAATCAATATGGAGAACATTATTCCCAACAAAATTACAATTATACCTTGTTAACAAGTTCTAATTAAAACAAAATTTTAATGTCCAAGATTTTTTGCGGATTAACTTTAAGTTCAGTGACACGATAGCCTACTCCAATCCGAACGTCCCAAGGCCCAGCCAATTATATCAAGAAGTCTTGATATGACATAGAGAGAGTGTCTACTACAAGCACCCAGAAAATATGAGGTTAGCAAGCACACAACTCAAGTTTATTTATACAATGATAGAAACGTGCTTGGTGAGAGGCATAAAAGTAGCGTACTAAAATAATCATTTGACCAATGATAGTCGAGTATTTTCCGGTTGGGAAATGTAACTTCAAGGTCAGCCTTGATCAGCCCATAAGTGTGATTAGGGCCTTTTTCAATGGAGTTCTGAGGTTCACTGAGCTGGATGTTTTGGTTGTGGAGCCTTCTTCATTGCTCTTCTACTGAACAACATCATCAGTACAAACTTCTGTCCAGCTCAGATGACCAAACACCACCACCACCACAATCATCCACCAGAGCTACAAATCTTCTCTCACCATCTTAAGATTACAAGCTTTTTCTAAAGTGAACATAATTGGTGGTCATTTGAGGAATCTGAGATTCATATTTCGTCCTGTTTAGAACCTTACCAGCTAGATGAATCTCCATGACTTGAACTGAGTACTGTTCCTTTATTGCAAACATTATCTTCTGTTTAGCTATGAGTATGGTTAAACGAACTTGTGTATATTTAATTCATCCCCTTTTGTATACCCGAAATCGAGATCAGCACATTCGGTCTCACACACAAAACCCTTTGACTAATGTTTGTATCTAGCTTTAATCAATCCACGACATTGCGCAATCTTGTTTATCATTTTTCGGTTGAGAACTACTTTATGTCACCCCCTCCCCCTTGGTTAGGGTTTCTCACTGATTCTCAAAGTACTTGAACAGTCGTTTCCACTGTCGATAAAAGTAGTCTCGCAATCTCATGGACTGATTCAAGTTAAACATTAACAACGTTCCCTGCTAGTTCAATAGTTATGAGGTTCATAATTCACATGTGGGACTAATCATTATTGATACAATTTCCAATTACAGGGTGGTAGATGTCTAAAACATAATGAGGATTCGCCTACTAAGCAACAAACAACAATGTGTGTGTGTGTGTGCGGTTAATGATGTAATCTTTAAATTCACCAAATCGATCAATATTAAACCATTATTTAGAAACTTCGAAGCACTAGACGGACATTTCGTCCAAGTAGAGAACTCATCAGCATTGTGCATCCAGAAAAACCTCATTATCAGGGAATCAAACCCAAAGCTTCCGGTCACGAACGGTGTACGAATGTTTAACCTCTAGATAAGTAAGTCAACAACCAATCATGTTTGACTCTAATCAATCTACCGTTTTGTACAATCTCATTCATTGTCTTTGGTGGTGGTGGTGGTGGGGGCACTGTAGATACATTGCCGGACGGACGAAACGTCCGTCTGAACAGTGCTTCCAGGTTTCTCTAATGATGACGGTCTAACATTGATCGATTCATGGCTTCTTTCAAAAATGTATAACTTAACAATCTTCACAACAACCCCGAAATGCCATATAATAATTCAATTGATAGTTTTCAATTTGTAGCAACAAATTCTAAAAAATAAACATATCACTGATCGCCTACTAATCAAATCGAAACTAAAGCAATCTAGCGTTACTATGACAGGGCAACAATTTAAAACAGTTCTGTTGGGGATGTC